GCTCTGATGTTTACTGTTGCCTCTCTTCCTCCTTGACTGGCAAACCAGGAACTTTTTACTTCTTTAAATGATTGCGTTCCTCCTCCAAACACAAAACACACACACACACCCCAACATCCTACTCTCTTCATCAGAATTATCTCCACTGCAGGGTCTGAGGTTAGCTGCACACTAGTGTATTACTTTTCATTTACACTGTCTCAGGGCTGTTCCATTTAAATATTATATATATTTGAAATATAATTTTCCTTGATATAAATATAACACATATATAATTTTAATCATACATTAATTAATTTGAATCACTAATGATCAGCACTTTCTTTTAAAATATTCTTGAGGAACAAGGACTGATAATTAATTTTACTCATGCGCATTAGTTAAAAAAGAATTTGTCTTTATAATTGTTTTGAAGGTTCTACCTCAAGGTTTGTGAGGTGATCCACTGCAAGTGTTTGTCATGTTTTGTCAAGATCGTAAATCTTGTACACTATATTGCCAAATGTATTGGGACGCCCCTCCAATCACTCCCATCGTGAATAAAGTCAAGCACCTAGGCATGCAGACTGCTTCTACAAACATTTGTGAAAGAATGGGTCGCTCTCAGGAGCTCAGTGAATTCAAGCGTGGTACCATGATAGGTGCAATAAGTCCATTCGTGAAATTTCCTCACTACTAAATATTGCATGGTCAGCTGTTAGTGGCATTATAACAAATTGTTTCCCACAAAACGACAGCATAACTGTGGCCCGGTTGGGTGGGGGGTTGTGCAGTTGATATTGACTATCACTTTTCTAACCTTAACGTAGCTGTCCTTATTAGCTAGGCTACTTGCTAAGAACTTTTTTGAAGGTGGTGTCTCCGACATTAACAGCGTTCTGTTGGACAGATTTGTGTAGTGATGTTCATGATTCTAATGCCGTGTTCCAGACCGGTTGCAACTGTTGTTGAAATATCCGACCTCCAGATGTTTCAGTTGCATGCTGCCGCATGACGCTAAATGTAAACAATAAACACGGCTGACTGTGACAAACTTATGTTTCTTGGCAAGTTTATGCACAGTTAAACTCTTAGCAGTGCACTTGGTGTTAATTAAATGGATGGCCAATTTATTAAAAACAATTGATAAATATACAGAGCCCGTTCTCATCTCAGGGTGTCGTATACCAACGATTTGAGAAAGCGTGACAAAGCGTAGTTATTTGACGCTGTGTGAGACGCTATGGGGCGTCCCGTACAGTCCGGAAGTGCTAGTTAGCTAGCGGTAGCTAGAAACTAACTTTGTCACACTGTCTGAAAGCGTCAGTTATGACGCATCGAGATGAGAATGTGTTGATATAAGTTACTCGTTACCTGTGTATCCTTCTATAGATCAGTTGGTAATCCTCAAAAGTCATAACTGAATAACTTTTGGGTAGAGAAGATCACTACTCGTGAAGTTGGGGTACATATTTTTTTCTCCGAGTTCACAAGTAGAAAATCCGACTTTAAGTAGAGGTCACAGTTTCAGGTTCCTCAGGTTCTGGTTTGGAGATTTAGCTGGCCTTGACAGGGTCTTGATCTGGGGGTCCTCCATCCACACCTTAATTGACCTGGTTGTGTGGCATGGAGCGTTGTCCTGGTATACAGGATAACTTTGTACAATGCTTGATTTTATTCGTCCTTCACAAAGACAAATCTGCCCAATTCCAGCCTTGCTGAAGCACCCCCAGATCATCACCAATCCTCCACCAAATTTAACAGTGGGTGCCAGACTCTGTGGCTTGTAGGCCTCTCCAGGTCTCCATCTAATCATTAGATGACCAGGTGTTGGGCAAAGCTGAAAACTGGACTCATCAGAGAAGATGACCTACCTCCAGTCCTCTACAGTCCAGTCCTTTTGAGGTCCCAGGTCTTTGCCAACTTTAGCCTGGTTTGTCTTTTCTTCTAATTGATGAAGGTTTTTTTTCTGGCTTTGTATGACTTCAGCCCTGCCCTTAGGAGCCTGTTTTGATAAGTCCTCGCTGTGCTGTTCACCCCAGCTGCTGTTTGCTATTCTTTTTGTAAATCACTTGATATTATCCTAAGGTTTTTGAGTGACATACGAATGAGTTGGCAGTCATCCGGGTCAGTGGACAATTGTTTCCGCCCTCTACCAGTCTGTAGCTCTGTCGTCCCCAATGTTTGTTGCTTGACCTTGTTCTTATGAACTGCTTTCTTTGAAATTTTAAGGATGGAAGCAACCTCACACTCAGTGTATCCTTCTGCCAGTAAAGCCAGAAATGAACCCTTCTTTTCCTCACTCAAAACTTTTCTTTTCAACTCTTTTGGCATGGTCAGTAGTTCCCTTTTTTTGCTCAGATTACCTTTGCGATTACTACTAGCTACTGCTTTTGCCATCCAGCTGGTCCTATTGCAAGAGGATAGTGATGACCACAGCACTAATAAGATCTGGCTCAGGTGATCACTTATTTATTAGTTTATTTACAGAAAGGTGCTGGTTGAAGAGGAGTTTGAGCAGGAGTCTGTACAGGCAGGGAGACGGGGTTACTGTGGTTGAGAGTGGGGCTGGGCAGGCAGAACAGGTGAAAGCTCCACTTGAATGCTGTGGAATGTAGGTTGGTGGAGTGAAGGTTAATTCTCTGAAAAGAGAGCACAAGGTAAAAAACACTGAGAGAATAACTCAGAGGTTTCGGCCGTGACTAGCACGTAGGTGAGCAGACGATCTGGCGAATACTGGAGGGTAGGACCGGAATTTTTGAAGGAAGCTGTTGATTACTGACGAGGAACCGGTGAGTGGTTCTGCCTGCACTTGGGGTTGGTGACCTCTGGCTGGGATGGGGGGGCTGTCGGCCCTGGTTTTCCCGTGTTCCCCCTCCCTGGCGGCGGGGGTTCCCCAGCACAGCTCTCTGCTGTTCTCCCTTGGGGCGGGGTGTGGCTGTCCCCGGGGCATGTGGTCTCGGGTGTTTTACGCTTTCAGGGGTCGGGGGGTCCCCTGGCTGCTGGGGTTCTTGCCTGCCTGTCACTGTGGCCGGTCACATTACAACAGATATTTTCATCAATTTACTGTGGGACACATTTAGAAAAAAGTCTAATAGACATGTAGAAAAAATGCTTTGCAGATTATGATGTGTTCAACCATTTTGTATGTGACTTATGATTAGATGTTTTGGGGGGTAAGACTAATCACCAGAGAACCAGTATAATACGTTGTGATCAACATGACACACAGTAAGCACCTGATAATGAAGGAAACAGCAGACAATTGTACATTATAATTCAAAGCAGTCAAAGCATTTTCAATTTGCACAAGTGACTAGAAGATGTGAAGGCTGAACAAGTAGAATTTCAATTCTGATCTGAGAAATGTACCAAAGTGACTGGAAACAACTGTATTCTAAAATGAAATACTGATTTATATGAAAAAATCTGTCACATTTCCAAGATAAAAATTCATCAAATTAATGCTTGTAGGTCAGTGTGTTATGAGTGACAATGTTTGCTTTCTGAGTGAGAATTGTCGCCAGTGTTTTGGTTGAACAAGTTTATTTTGAGGCTTCTATGAAGTGTTTTGGTGGTTTGAGTGACTTTTGGAGGTGAAATTTACTGTTTGGCCAAGATGCATATTGATAATGCAGAATGTGTGAACAGTTTTGAAAAAGTGGTTTCAGTTGTGACCCTTGCATCTTAGCAATTGCAAAAAAACTGTAAATGCTGCTGTTCGGCTGGTTGTCTTTGTTTTTTGGCTTTGTTTAGGGTTTTTTTTCTCCTCCCTCACTCTCTTGCAGGTGTTGTCCTTTCTCTGTGGTGTCTGTGCCCCCGATCCTCATTTCTGCCCCCCTGTCCGGCCCGGCGACGAAGCCTACACAATATACACACAGAGGTACAGACAGTAAAGGTGATGTTGCTATAGACTAAATGAAAAATGGTACAAATATACAGTAATGTTTATGATAATAATCGTAATGTTAATGATTATAATAACAATAATAGCAATAGGACTAGTAACAATACTTGTAGCAGAGGGTGTCGAGCAGGAACACGGGGGCAGCAGGTGACCCGCAACCACAGATCCAGACTCCACAGCTCCAGAGCCAGAAAAACCTGCAGGAAGTGATAGGAGGAGAGAGGAGAGGGACGAGAAAGCACAAGACTACCAGAAAGGGGAGAAGTTGTGTTAGTAACATGCAATAATGGGATGAGGTTGCATACAGAGGGAGAGAAAGTAGAGGAGAGAGGAGCTCAGTGCATCATGGGAAATCCCCTGGCAGTCTAGGCCTATAGCAGCATAACTAAGGGATGGTTCAGGACTCACCTGAGCCAGCCCTAACTATAAGCTTTATCAAAGAGGAAAGTCTTAAGCCTACTCTTAAATGTGGAGATGGTGTCTGCCTCCTGAACCCAAACTGGAACCTGGTTCCACAGGAGAGGAGCTTGATAGCTGAACGCTCTGGCTCCCATTCTACTTTTGGAGACTCTAGGAACCACAAGTAACCCTGCATTCTGGTACAACAAAAAAATACAAAATCTTTTTTGTGAACATGTATAGCTGTACAGGTGCACAGAGTGAAGTCACACCCACCACACATATAGAAAGGGAGGAGAAACGAGAGAAATTAAAGCACCTTCATCTTCCTGACTGATCAGACAGAGTGGAAGGAGTGAAGTGATAGAGGCAGTTCTCCTGCAGTTGAATGATTTGTCTCCATCAGGATCAAATTCAGAATGAATATCCACCGTGTTCTGTTCTTCTGCTTCTTCTCAGGTGAGGACTGATTACCTGACTGTCTCTTTAAAGCTGCAGCACACACTGCTGGACATTTGTCCAAATGTTGGATGACTTGTGCTTTTCAGTTGCTGTGTTCTTATTCAGATGTCCTGTTGTTCTTTGATGTTTTCTGTTACTAGTTTCTGAAGCAGCATTTCCACAATCTGATCCAAACCACTGTAATGAAATATAAAGCAATTTAAACTAAATTCATTATTCATCATCTGTTATTCATTGTTGCTCATTTATGTAATCCATGTTAGAAAGTTAGGACATTGTAAAACACTACCAAGTACAAGTGCAACCACAACAACTGCTGTAGAGTCAGTGAAAAGCTGAATTTTGTTGCCTCTGAATCAACTCTGCTTGTCTGTGTGATCTTTGTGGATTAGCCCTCATTAACCTGCAGAATATTTTACAGTCAGTGTACAGGAAGTCCTGACCATCAGGATAAATTAAAATTAAATTAAATTTTGATTGGTTAATTTTGTTGTCACTCTGGATTCATGCCAAGTGCACATACTATGAGCAAAGCCTGCAACCGAGGACACGGCAGGCCCTGAGGGCGGAGATCAGAGCATGAAAAAGCACACGCAGAGACAGGCACATCCAGTTCAAGTTTAAAATTGTGTGTTTATGGTTTTGCTATGAACTAAAATCTTACAGTAATGATTTTTAAATAATAAATAAATGTAAGAAATAATAAATTATAGAACAATATTATCATTACTAATTTGGAATATTTTATTAACTAAAAATTTACACCCTTTAAAAATATTAGGGCCTGTACCTGTCTGCTCATTAGTGGTTTCAGGGACTGACACAAACAAGGAAAAGACACAGCAGACAGACAAAACCCAGGGGAACAGGGAGGAGCACAGCTGTACTACGACAGGAGAACAGTACTTGCATGACTGCATTGTGCCAAGTGTAAAGTTTGGTGGGGGGGATTATGGTGTGGAACATACTCTTCCTTGGTTTCACAGGGCCGCTGGCTCTGCCTGCACTTGGGGTTGGTAGCCTCTGGCTGGGATGGGGGGGCTGTCGGCCCTGGTTTTCCCGTGTTCTCCCTCCCTGTTGGCGAGGGTTCCCCGGCACAGCTCTCTGCTGTTCTCCCTTAGGGCGGGGTGTGGCTGTCCCTGGGGCATGTGGTCTCGGGTCTTTTGCTCTTTCGGGGGTCGTGGGATCCTCTGGCTGCTGGGGTTCTTGCCTGCCTGTCGCTGTGGCCGGTGCTGGTGCTGACTGATGTTGAAAAAGGTCCAAGAGTCAAATTTGGTTTTGATGTGGCTGGAGCTGTGAACAACAAAGATAAAATGAGATGCTTCCTGCAGATTTTACACAGACTGAGAGAACTGTAGCTGCTCACTGATGGATAGAAACATAAATTGTACACAAAGAATATCCACGTGTTTATAAGGTGGTTTGTTGAATTAATTGTAACAAAATCAAATTTTGATCTTTTCAACAGCACTGTGTGGTGGAAACACTGGGCTCGTCAGCGCACAATTCAACATTTATACAGGAGCTGAGGGAGGAACTGGTACAATTAATTGCTACTTCACTCTGTCTGGAAGCAGGAAGTTCTTCTGTAAGAACGAATGTAAAGCAGAAGATATTCTGGTTAAAACAGATGATGTCAGAGCTCAGAGTGGCAGAATCAGCATTGACTACAGAAACGGATCTTCTGGAAGAGGAATTGTGTCTGTGACCATCACAAATCTGATCAAGTCTGACTCAGGACAGTACAGGTGTGGTCTGGGCGGGACTTCGGTTCCAGAATCATTCACTGATTTTGAGGTCAGAGTTTCAGATGGTGAGTTTCTACTGAACAAAATTACACCAAATTTATATTCAACATATTAAGTGATTTCTGAAGAAAAAAAATTGTGGGAAGAATGTATAAGAATAAATAAGAGTTATTTGTGCTGTTCGGACTCTGGTCGTCACATCCTGTGTGAAACCAGGTGAAACAGAAAAGGAAATATTGTGATCAAACTGCACCATCTTACAGGTAGTAAATAATGATTGCTCCTCTTTTCAACAGTGCCACTGGCTGGATTTTCTGGTTTTATCCGTACAAATACTGAAGGAGAAGATGTCACACTTGGATGCAGCGATACTATTTACGGAACATGGAAGTTCTTCTGTAAGGGCGAATGTAAAAAACAAGAGGACATCATCATTGAAACAGATGGGAACAGAACTCAGAGTGGCAGATACAGCATAAAGTATGAAGTAGGATCTGCATTTGGACTGGAAGTGAGCATCACACAGGTGACCAAGTCAGACTCAGGACAGTACAGATGTGGTTACGGCAGAGCTCTGTCTCCAGATTCATACAGCAGGATTCCGCTCATTGTCATAGATGGTGAGTTTTGTTTTATTAAATATCTTAATCCATGTACCTTCTGTTCAGTGTGGATGTGAACCAGAGAGGGTTAATGGTTGGCACCTTAACATGTACATTTTAATGAGTATATTTGTATATTTGTATTGAGTCGTTTAGCTGACGTTTATATCCAAAGCAATAATTGCTATATAGGTCGCCCGCCTCTGGAGCAACTATTCAATTCAATCAACTTTATTAATCCCACTAGGGCAATTAGTTAAGAGCAGCATGCACAACACACACAACATTCACAACATACAAGCAGCCAGTATGTGCACATCTGGTACCCCATAAAGAACCCTACAGGGAGTTTGATTGCCGAAGGTATAAAAGATTTGGAGTGGCGGTTCATCTTGCACACAGGTAGTGCATGACGACGCCCAGAAGGCAACAGAGAATTCACCTGCCAGTGCATGTCCCAGGGAGGCTAAGGTACTTACTGCCTTCTGGACTATTTGTTGGTTACAGAAGGCATTAATTTTATAATGTTGTTCAGGCTGTTCCTATCAGATTGTGAAACCAACAAGAAAAACTCAAAAGACTACACAGGATTACCGGCGTGAAAGAAAAGGAGTTGACAGAGAAGATAAATTCTCTGTTGCCCCACTTCACAATGGTGGCGGTGTTTATATCAAACTTAGCATGGTCATCAAAAAGAGTGCCCAAGTATTTATATGATGAGACAATTTCCACCTGTTGGTTGTGTATGACTGCTCTCTGAAGCAGCATCTCTGTTAGTAAAGTCAGTTATTAATTCTTTGGTTTTATATACATTTAAGTCAAGGACTCAAGTCATCTCTAGTGCATTCCCGTGGTCAGACACTGGACTCGGAGGAGTGACAACAACGCAGTTTCATCGGAAAACTTCACCAGATAGCTGCTGTCCTTTCCTTCTGTAGCCATTTGTGTACAAAATAAAATCTAATAGACATGTAGAAACCATGATCCTGTCGAGAGGAATAAGGAGTCTGACCCAGACTAGGGATTGAGTGTCTTGCTCAGGGATCGCAAAATCATATAATCAGGATTGTTGTTGTACTATTGGATGGGCTCTGTTGGACTGTTGCCACAGTTCTCTCAGTCTGTGTAAAATCTGCAGGAATCATCTCCTCATCATTGTGTCTTTGTTGTTCACAGCTTTTTCAGTCCCTGAAGCCACTAACCAGCTGACAGGTACAGTTCACAGCAGTGAGCAGGCGCTACCATTTTTAAAGGGTGTCATTTTTAGTTAATATTCCAAATTAGTAATTATAATATTGTTCTATATTTATCATTTATTACAATGGTATATTTATTTAGTGTTTTTTTTTATTTTTTATTTTACACTGCATTAATAAAATTCATACTAAAATGTATGTTACTTGTCTCTTAGGTTACTTCTTGCTTCTGGTTGTGTGCCTACCCTTGGTTTTTGTGCTGTTGGCTGTTTTTCTGCTGGTCATCTACAAATTGAAGACAAGGAGGAATAGTGGTTTGAACAACACAGGAAATGCAAGCAGCATGAAGACAGAGGTGACTAACTTTAACTTGTTTTGACTTGTTGTGACTGATAGTAAACAGGGGGTCACACACTACGCGAGCTAACAGCGGCTGCGACACCCAGCGCTGGTCTCCAAGCCACGTTTTTTCAAGAAAACACACTGAAATGTGAAAGATAGCAATTATGAAGACAAAAAATATAGGTGAAAGAATGGATTAGCACACGCAAGTAGCAGGGATTGTCTGGAAAAAGTGTTTTGCGGGGAAAAGTAGCTGCCTGTTATGCCAGTCGCATGCTCTCATTGGCTGGACGTGGATGTCAAGTCGGCCGACTCCTCAAGAGGTTTGGCGTGCTAGATATCTGGCTGGCGTTTGCGATATGTCAGCGTTGCGTCAGGGAGCCGTTTTGATGCATCGTTGTGTAGTTCACACATAACTACCGGCGACCGCAGATCGACCGCTGATTTACCCCTGATCACAGCCTCACGGTCACCGAGCTCACCGACCGGCAAATCAGGCTAAAACTCAAGTAGTGTGAACTAGGCTTAAGACAGAAAGCTTGGAGCAGAAGAGTGTGGCTCTGTGGATGAAAATGTCAGTCTCTCAGTTGGTCCACTACTTTGATCCAGATTAACATATATCTTAACAATGATTTAATGGATTGTCATGAAATGTAGTTCTGCACAAACGATGAATCCTAACATCTCTGACTTTTCATCTAGAGCAGCAGCATCTCAGACCAACACACGTAATCAAACTGTGTAGAAACAAAATAAAACTAACCAAAACAATCTTTGTCTGTGTTTACACTGTTCCAACAATCAGCCACTCTGGTTTGGTTGAAATAATAACGCTTAATTCATTGAAATATTCGGTCTCTACGCCTCAGCAAGCAGCCACTAAACCGGCTTCAATGGCTGCTGGGGTCGAATGCTCCCGTCAAAGTATGTCCACTAAAAGAGCTTGTTTTGCAACTGACGGGCTCAGATTTTTATTCTAAGTTTCAAAAGTGACACGATTATGGAAGGGAAATCTACAGAGAAACATTTTACAGAAGACATTTTTTATTAAACTGTAATATTCTTTTTCTTTAACCAGAAATCATTTTACCTTCCAGATCATCGTTAAACACCTTTATTTATACCCGACAGACACAAATAAAACTCACCAAAACCGTCTTTTGTTGTCTTTGCACTGTTCAGCAATCACCAAAATGGTGTAGTGCAGGGACGTGCACAGGAATTTTGAAGGGCAGTTGCTCTGACCTGAAAAAAGGCACTAAACACAGTATCCAAAATGTATTAACAATATAAATGTCACCAAAATACATATGAGAAAAAGAGTTCCTTATATTATTGTTTATTGGTTTTTTTAATCATTATTATTTTTTATTTTTTTTCCTTTTTTTTTTTTATTTGAAAATAAATAATCTAGATTGAATTGACAGATGGGGAAAACTCGCTTCTAATAAAATATTAAATAAAAAAACGCTTAGATTTCAGAAAAAAATACAATCCTTTTTTAACCTTTTGGCTTCCCGTACATTCAGTTGCGCTTCTAGCTCGTATTCACTTCTGTTGGTACGTATCACGTATGGTAACTGGGCAAAACTACGCATGATTTGTTGTAGTATGATTGCATAAAGGAAGGAAACAGGAATTCCGGTAGGGAACAGAATCGACTGACGTGCAGGCAGCGCTGCAGCAGTGCAGCCACTTAAACAGAGTTTGCCCTTCCCCTACTGACTTTCACTTTCGGTGCCCGAATGGAAGTGAATGAGGCTTTGCGATCGCGATTATTTTTTTATTTTATTTTTTTTTCTCGGAAGGGCGAGTCGGAAGGGCAACTTGAGTCAGGAAAGGCAAACGGGCAGTTGCCCGGGCAACCAGAGCAACCCCCCTGTGCACGTCCCTGGTGTAGTGGAAATAAACCCTTACTTCACAGCGTTATTATTTCTCTAAGGGGTTCCTTAAAACTATGATTCTTGGCATAGAATGCTCATTACCTCTCACAGGTGGTAACACTCCCTTTTTTCCCAGTTGCTGATGTCTGTCAGTTAGCTGTATATGCTATCAGACTAACATCACGTCCCCTACGCACCTGGAGGTTTTTGATCTTGGACCTTTTAATAACTCAGAGTGCAGACAGCTTATGATAGTTGTCTTTGGTTAGAGCACATATAATTATGAAATGATTCAACCTGTGAAACACATTTTGAAACTTAAAGTATATAATATAATAATCACATCTATAAAATAGTCAATAAAATGCTTTTGCCACTGTTGCACTGTTAGCTGGAAGGATGGTCAGCTGTACTCTTGTTACTTGACATTTATTTTGACATGCATTGTAGACATTTTTTATAAATGTATATTGTTTGTTGTTTGGTTGTATAGATTTATATTTGGCTGTTTTACCTTTTTTGACTAAAAATCTTTGTTTTCACTTCTTTGCACTAACATTATTGATACTGCTTTTTATTCTGGTCTTATTGTGGTACAATATATATCTTGTTCTACTGAACTTAATTTCCTTTACAAACTACTTTGTCTTTCTTGCTCTAAAAGTGCAATTTAAATTTTAGGGATTTTGTTCCAGGTCTCTAGACATTTCAGTCACTGACACATTAACAAACAATTATCTAGAAATAACAAATAGCTGGTCTGTTGGTCTGGCTGCTGCTGTATTTCAGGTTTGAAGTCATTCTCGTTTTATTTTCAGGTGTCTGTCATCTATCAGAACAACTCAGTCTCCACAAATAAAGACACCATCTACGAGAACTAATGGGGATGAGGACCAAACCTACTGTAGATCTCTAGCTCTAGACTCACTAAGGCAAAAAAAAGTAGATCCCATCACTCCGGTTCTGAGGTCTTTACACTGGCTTTCTGTCTGTCAGAGAATTTATTTTAAAATAATTAAATTTAGTATTATTATTATTATTATAAAGCACTGAATGCGTTAAAGCCAATATACATTTTTGATCTTCTGCTCTGATATGAACCATCCAGACCTCTCCGGTCGTCTGGGACAGCTCTGCTTTCTGTCCACAGAGTCAAAACTAAACATGAAGAAGCAGCATTCAGTTTTTATGCTCCGTATATCTGCAACAATCTCCCAGAAAACTGCAGGTCTGCTGCCAATCTCTCTTCTTATAATTTAAATCAAGACTTTTCTGTTAGCCACTGCTTTTTATTAATTCAAATTCAAGACGTTTGATTAATATGGTATGCTACACACTTGTAATGGTTTTGGGTTTTCTAGTCCTGTTTGGGGGTTTTGTTCCATGACTAGCATTTCAGCCTTGTTTGTTCTTGTGTCCTTTTGCATGTTCAGCTTTGTGTGTCTGGTCCTAGTTCGTTGTCATTTGTTCTGGTTTTTGTCCACTTGTCAGCCTGTCTTGTCCATGTCATCTGCTTCTGGATTCTGAGTGGTGTGTTCAGTGTCTGTGTCAAGTTACATTTTTGTGCTATGTCTGTTCAGTCTGTGTTGTGATGTTAATCTCTGTTTCCTGTTTTAGTCTGAAGTTGTCTGTGTTTGTGTAGTTTTGCTTCCCATTCTGTTTCATTACCTTGATTTCTCACACGTTTTGTGTTCCCACCCTGCTCGTTTGCCTCAGTATTTAATGCCTGTTTTTCTGTCCAGTCTTTGTTGGTTCACTGTAGCTTGTAGTTGCTCTGTCGCTCTTGTCTAGTGTGTTTGTTTGCTCCTGCCTCGTGTTCTGCCTGTAAATTTGCATGGACCTTTTTTGCCTTTTGCTTGTTATGGATTTTGTTTTCATTTGGACTTACCTTGGACTCAGCCGCTCCCTGTAAGTGTGCTCGCTTTATGTTAAAATAAATCACAGAACTGTACCTGCTCTGCTCCTGTGTCCAGCATTTGGATTCTCAACCTGTTTACACTAAAGACTAAACCTGACAACTTTTACTGTCCTGCTTAATCTTGTTGTTTTTTTTCTATTTAACTCTTTAAATCAGATTCCCATGTCTTTTTTTTTATAGTTCCCTATGTTGCTTTCGCAAAGCACTTGAGTTGCCTTGTTGTTAAAACGTGCCATGAAAATTTACTTGCCTTTCCTTGATTAATTAAAATGGCGATGTCTGGATATGAATCTTTTGTACTGTGCAGCTTATAATGCGCTGTGGTTCCGTTTTGTTCCTTTTGTGTTGGTAGCTCCCAAATGAAAGTTAGAATGACCAGGAGAATCTCTTGCTGCAGTGTCCGATGTGTCATCCAGATTCTTTTTAACTATTTGTGTTTTAAAGTAAAATATGTTGGTGGCATAAACAATAAATAGAAAAATATTTAAACCAAATGCTTACAGTAGCTTATAGGTGGTCTGTTGTGAATGGGGTGAATGTGGAAATTGGCCTGGATTGACGTTAGATTCCCAGCCTGCAACTGTTGACATATGCAGTACAACTCTCAAAGCTGGTTCAAGAAAGAAAGTTACAGAAAAAAAGGTTTATTTGTGAGAATCTTTGCACTTGTTAACACTGACAATCAATACACAACTGCTGTGGCTACAAACTTCTCTATTTTTAAATATCAAAACCAGCTTAACAACAAAGGGTTTTTGTACTTCAGTACTCCATTAATATCATACTCAAGTCCCATTTTTTTACTTCAAATTATTGAGAAACACATGAAAGGAACAGTTGTCAAAACTATGGAATATTTTATAGAATTTGTCAAATTAATCTGCCTCAAAAATACACAAGCAGACATTTCCTTAATGCACTGTAAACTGTATGACCTTGATATGCATAATAAGGTGAACACTTAAAGTATATGATATTAATACATATGTTGATTAAAATTCAGTAAAAAGTACAAGATTAGAAGACCCCAGAGAACGAGGCCCTGTGGAACCACATCCTTTCAGATTGATCATATTTGCGTGCAGATGCGCCAAACCAATGCAAGTGGAGAGAGTTTTGGTCTGGTTGTTCGTGTTGAATTACTCCTCTCATTCAGTCACGGTAACGTTACACAGCAACTACACCGACCAGCATGGAGCCCAGGTCATCAGACATCCCCGCACAAATCTGGAGGACACACAGAGGATGCAAAGGAGGAACTAAACAACGAGGGAAGAGAGAGGGGTCCAGACAACAGAGGCTTAAGAAAGGAGATTTATCCTTGAGATTACTGGCTAATAAGATGGAAGAGCTACACCGGGAAATACCCGACCACAATGTTTCCATCTATGCCTTTTACACTAAAGGCGGAGGAGGGCTTGCTGTAGTTAACAACAGATGGTGTAATCCTGGTCACATTAAGATTAAAAAACGTATCTGCAGCCTGGACATTGAACTGCTTGCCCACAGGAAATTTCACATGCAATCTTTGTAGCTGTCGGTGTGTAACTTGATTTACACCGCCATTGCTCAACTCCAGACTCAACATCCGAGTGGACACATACAGTAGTAATCTCAGGTGACTTCAACCACGTCATTATGGCCACACACACTAACCAATTTCTCCCAGTATGTGAGTTCTCATACAGGAGAGGAGAGGACCCTGGACTTACATTAAGCTTGCACTAAAAGAGCTATTTAAATAAAATGATCAAATTATCTCTGGATGTTTAAATTGTGATCACCGGAACATTAACAAATATCTGATATGTTCGTTTGGCTGCTGCTGTATTTCACGTTTGATGTTGTTTCTGTTTAATTTTCAGTCTGTCACCATTGAGGACTTGCCTTCAGTCTCTACAAGTGAAGACCACACCTACCAGAGCCTCGAACCAGGGATCAGGTCCAACTACTCAACTCTACATTTTAAGGAACACAAAATGTAATGTTTTTATTTAAATCTTGGTTTTGTACTGTGCGGCTTATAATGTGCTGTGAAGTTCTTTTTTATTCCTTTTTGTTGGCAGATATTATTTTTAAGTTATATTATCACCTCTCTGCTGCTGATTCAGAGCTAATCATTTGTTTCAGGGTGTTCAGCAGTTTGTCACTTATTATTCTGAAATATCAAATCTGTCTTCAGAAATGTTGGTGTTTTTGGTTATTCTTTCCCAAACTTTGAGGAAAACAAAAAAAAATCAAAAACAACCAAGTTGAGCAAAATGGCAACATACAGCTCTCATCCTGTAAAATTAAAAGCCATTGAGTAAAAATGAGTTTGAAGTTGCGATTTAACAACCAGATAGCTGGGGGGCAGTCTGAAATGAAGAGGAAATTCATTCCACATGTGAAGTGATTTCGCTTACGAGTTCCAATAAGGAGATGAGCAGCAGCATTTTGAACCAGTTATAGACGAGAGAGGGAGGCCTGGCAAGTACCTATATACAAAGCATTACAACAATCAAGCTGTGTTGTGATAAATGCATGTATAATCTTGTCAAAGTCTGAAGGATAAAAAGGGCTTTAGCTTAATACTTAATACTAGCTTTCACAACAGAATTGATACCGACCACAACCACAACATAAGGTGCCCAGGTGTATTTGAGAGACATCAGAGGCCCCACTGGGTCTAAATATCATGACCTCAGTTTTACTCTTGTCAAAGTTTAAAAATTCAACAACATCCAGGCTTTAATATCATTAAACCAATATTTTTAAAGAGCTTCCATCTTTTCTTTTTTTTTTTTATGGGCAGGTAGATTTGCAAATCATCTGCGTAGAGATGGAAGCTGATGATGTGTTTTTTCAAGATTGATCCAAGGGGAAGCAAATAGAGTGAGAATCAAACTCTGGGGAACTCCACATGTGAGGGAAACTAAATCAAAAAATGACTCTAAAATCTCTGTTTGACAAGTTTTACCTAAACAGTTATAAGACAGTGCCTTTAATACCCACGCCATGCTCAAGGCGAGAAATAAGGACGCTGTGGTCAACTGTTTCAAATGCTGCTGTAAGATCTAAAAACAATCGCATGATCTACAGCAGTGGTTCTCAACCTTTTTTGGGCCAGCGCCCCCCTATCCATTATCCAGGTCCCTTACCGCCCCCCATCAAAAAAGATGTTTGCTATTTGCCCTGAATATTGTTGTTTTGTATTGTTTTTATTGTTACTATTGTTATTAAAAACATGGAAAAGGTAACAAAAAAGCCATTTGAAAAGTAATTATATTTAACCAATAAGTGAAAGTTCCTCCCAGAAACTGTGTCTGAAGCCAGATACTGTTTTCTTGGATGGGGGACTTAAGAAGTGGGGAGTGTGGGGGTCCTCCCCCAGAAGATTTTGAGCTTTAAACACTTAATTTCCTGCATTCTGGTGAAAATTTCTCCTCCAATTTCTGCCTTTTCTGCACCAATTTATGGTGGAAATGTCTAAAAATTCAGGTGGCAGGTGACAATTCAAAATACATAATTATAATAGAATATAATGTAGTGAGGTTCTTTCTTTCTTAATGCTTTTAAATATGTTTCTTTTTTTCAACTTATTTAATATCATCCCTGCTGAGTCAACACACATGATTAAGTCTTACCGCCTCTTTTGTGGGGAAGTAACCCATTTAAATGTGTTTGTGGTTTTCATCTCGGTGATGAATTAATCCGTTTCAGTTATTGACTGGACTTTATTAGCTCATCTGTTAATAACTTAACATATCATAACTCAGTGTTTCCCACAGAATGAAAGTGTAACTGTGGCGCAGATACAGCATGCTAGCCTCGAAAACCCAGCTGTATTTTAACGTTAACTTAGCTCTCCTTATTAGCTAGGCTCCTTACATGCTTGCTAATAACTTTTAATAGCTGGGACAAGAGGGAGAGAGAGCGAGAGATCGAGGTACGGATGGGGAGGGCGGGTGAGAGGATGTGCTGCGCGAATACGCGCTGCCTGCAGCTCAAATACGATTTTAAATAGGCCTAGTAAAGAAAATCGAAAATCAATAAGTGGTGGTCAGCGCTGATATTGTGGCAGGCCGCCACAAATAAATGAACGTATGGGAAACACTGTAACTTATCTGCTCATGTTCAAACCTTTCTGCACATTCAGAATCTCTCCCACATATCTGAGTTTTCTGACATGTAAAGAAAAAAAAGTTGTTATAGGAGACTAACGTCATTAGCCTATTTAAAGAGAATTCATAATATTTTACTACACGCCCCATACTGCATTATGTTACTGATTCGCTGGAAGTATCCCCTCGCCGTCTGACAGACAAAACTGAATGAGACGAGGAGGTGCTCCTGCCGGGGGAAAACGAAACTAACTGACAACACCTGTGATCAGACAGAAAGCTCACAAATAATTCCCCATACGTTAACTTCAGTTCGGCTGTCAGCTAACTACTATTTTGTTAATTATGTAGCATGTCTAAACTACGTACGAATTTTAATAAATTCATGAGAATTATAATAATACTAATAATCTTTATTTGTAGAGCACTTTTCAAAAACAAGTTACAAAGTGCTTTAACAAGTGTAAAGACAATAATACAAAAACAATACAAGATAAAAGCATGAAAACATTGAAAAGACTAAAATACAGATAAATATAAAATTAGTAAAATAAAATAAAAAGGATAAAATAAAGTCAAATAAGATCGGGAAAGGCTCGCCTATAAAAGTATGTTTTAAGAAGGGACTTAAAAGAGTTCACTGACTCAGCCGACCTGATTTCCTCGGGCAGGCTGTTCCAGAGCCTCGGGGCCCTGACAGCAAACGCTCTGTCCCCTTTAGTTTTCAGTCGAGACTCTGGAACAGACAACAGACCTCTGCCCGAGGATCTCAAGGTACGTGCTGGTGCGTATGGGACTAAAAGGTCAGAAATATAACAATCAGATAATATTATAAGTGGCTGCACCTGATCCCGATGGACACGAAGGGCTTAAAGGCAGACAGCCGAGGGGGGGAGTGGCTGCAGAGTTCTGCCTGAAACTGTCACACCGAGGAGCACCGATGCCACTGTTTGAGCTAGCTGTCTCTCCCGAGGAGAGCCGTGCACCTCAAAGTGTAACGTTACTGTTTAATTAATTTTTTTTTATTAATCAAAAATGTATTCACTGTTACGCGCATCGTGCGCGTTCACATGCACGTGCTTTGCTGGTCTTTATTTACTACTATCCTGACTATTAGATTATTGTTTGGTTGTTAACCAAAAAACATTATTTAAAACATTGGGACAGAATCAATAATAAATAAATAAAGTCACTGAGAGGTGGATGTTTTAGTGGTTGTGTTTTGAAGAAAACTGCTAAATGATTCAATACTAATTACAGGCAGCAATTTAGGTTGTTAAATAAACTGATCTGACTGGTCATTGATAATCACAGGCAGACAGCAGCTGAAACTTAAACACTAATAATAATAATAATAATAACAATAATACTATAAACAGTCTTCCTCAAGTCATTAAAATTATATTACATTATAGTGAGTTTTTTATATATATAAAAATCCCCCTCTCACCCCTTGTGGTATGTTTCATCCTCAAGCTCTGGTCCTCTACCAGAGGACTGGGAGTTTGAGGGTTCTGCGCAGTATCTTAGCTGTTCCTAGGACTGCACTCTTCTGGACAGAGACCTCTGATGTTTTACCTGAAATCTGCTGGAGCCACTCTCCCAGTTTGGGGGTCACAGCCCCCAGTGCTCCGAGTACCACTGGCACCACTGTTGCTCTTACTTTCCACATCTTCTGATTTTACACAACACAAATGTAAAAATACATGTTTTGGGTGGTGAGATATTTGTGTATTTTTTTTTTTTACAGATCTCTGCAGTATACATTGGACAAAATTCCACAAATGTGTTAAAATGAAGTTACAAATGTAACATGACCCACATATTGACAGAAAGCAATCTGCAAATGTGCAAAAACTGTTTTGTGTGTAGAAGTCACTCTGTATTTTTGTGGAGAAGATTTTACGCAGCCAGGCGGATGCACAGATTGGTCTGCCTGGTCTTGCGGTCTCGAGCTATCCACTGGTATTACTGCCAATTCCCTTCTGGGCTCTGTCCATGTTATGATGCCTGACGGGAGCTTCCATGTTGTGCAGAGGCAGGTTATTGGCCGGTAGTTGGATGATCCTTCATGATCAGGACTGTCCGCCATTCTAGGTCGGTCCCATCCATCAGCCGGTGGCTCATTTGTGCTGCCGATAGGTGTGGATCATGTCAGGGCCTGGTGCTGTCCAGCTCTTCATACCTGCCACCTGTCTTTCTTGGATGTCTGCTGTTGTAGCCACTGAGCATTGGAGCATTGGTGAGCATACTGTACATTTGTGTTATTACCCTGCCACTGAGAGTACACTTTGGATGGTTTGGTGGAGAACATCGGGTTTATTCTCCTGGATTCTCCCCTGTATCTCTTTAGGCAGGTAGTCAGAGCGGTAAGTCTGCAATGTTGCCTTCTGGTCAAACAGTTTCACTGTATGAAACTGGACTGTGAGTGAGACCTTTTGGATGTGTGGAAGAACACAGAACATGAATTAACATTAGATCCTGACCGATCCTGTCGGTGCGTCGGGACATTTTAAAATATTAATTTATATTGCTGTTGCTTGTGCGTAAATGCGCACAGCTCTCTGGAGAGGCGCAGCCACAAGTGTTCATTTTTACAGTCCTGCTGCCCATCCACACATCACATTCAACAGCATCAGTAACATCAAAGTGAAATGACATCAAGGAATGTGGTTAGAACAACTTTATGCGGTGCTGCACAAACAGTGAAGGGCAGAACGTCGCGCATTTGATAATTTTTTATAGGCTTAACTGATATAACTTATGAATACAACAGCAACAGTGCAGAATCCTGCTCCGGCTGTGGGTTGGTCCCGCCGCATGTCACGCCTCTTGTAAACATCACAGCGGCTAAAACAGCAACCACCATAACAACTGCGGTAGAGTCATCTCGTCTCATTCTCTCATCTTAACCTCTTCTGCTCACTTCATCTCATTATACAAACCTATTGTTCCTTGTAAGCTACCTTCTGTCACCTCTTACACCACCCTCATTAACCTGCAGTCTGTTTTACAGTCGGTGTACAACACAGGAAGTACTGACCATCAGGGTTCTCTGTTCATCTTTCCAACAGCACTGTGTGGTGGAAACACTGGGCTCGTCAGCGCAAAAGTCGACATTTATACAGGAGCTGAGGGAGAAACTGGTACAATTAGTTGCAACGTGTCTCTGTCTGGAAGCAGGAAGTTCTTCTGTAAGAACGAATGCAAAGCAGAAGATATTCTGGTTAAAACAGATGATGTCAGAGCTCAGAGTGGCAGATACAGCATTGACTACAGAAACAGATCGTCTGGAAGAAGAATTGTGTCTGTGACCATCACAAATCTGACCAAGTCTGACTCAGGACGGTACAGGTGTGGTCTGGGCGGGACTTCAGTTCCAGAATCATTCAGGGACTTTGAGGTCAGAGTTTCAGATGGTGAGTTTCTACTGAAAGTCATTAAACTGGATATATAT